CTCACTGAAAATTTAAAAGCTAATAAAATACTTTATAAACTTCGAACTCATTCTCATCACGTTCGCTGTTATTATTAATGGCTATTTCGATGTCACTATCAACCTCATCCGATAAAAATCCTGAAAAGTCTCTGTCAGAGTTTCTCAAGTAAAAGTCTGCTCCAACTGGCTGAATTTCTGTCACTATTTCTGCCGCTTTCAAAATCAATTTTGTTCTCTGTGTTCAGCAGTATTCTGTCTTTGTAAGCTAAAATTTTATTGGTTCAACTGTCTGCATAATTAGAAAATGGCTTGAAATCAACCAATGGTTTGCAATGACTTAAATCGTGCAGGAAATAAGCAATGCTAAATACTGCCACTCAAACTCGGCGCTAGGGATACAAGCTAGGTAAACTCTGCCGCGCTATCGAGGAGCTCAGGAGATGAGGGAGAAAAAATGTGACGAGTTATTGGTGGGGTGTCAGGGCTAATGAGTTAAGTTAATCTTAGCATGATAATGAATTGAGTATCCAACCCAAACCCCTCCCTTCTTTTGCCTCTATGTCCATCCTTTTGTTAGTTTTATTGTTTTAGGTCCCTCGATAACTCATGCCCTCATTTATAAAAAGTCGATGTTTTTAGACCCCATTGTGTGCAAGTTATCAAGGGAGTGGTGTACATGGAGATCAGGAGTTCTCAGATCTTGTACATGTCAGCAGTTATTCCTTTGATGCTGGTGGCAATAAAAAGTTACTGACAACTTCTATGGAAAATATTCATATTTACCAAAGTAATTTAGCAATGCAAACAAATTAATTTGCAAGCATTTGATATTAGTTTACATTCTAGCTGAGCACAAGTCAGAAATACGCAGTTTTCTTACATTTTATATTGACAGAAACTGACCTGTCAGACAAGCACCTTGTAAATTTTCATTAGCCTATCCAAAACTTTAATTTGTTCTACATGTCACAGTAAGGAATTTGCACAGCCCTGTAATCTATCCTACATGTCACTATAGTCCTGTAATCTATCCAACAAGTCACTATAGCCCTGTAATCTCTCCTACAAGTCACTATAGCCCTATAATTTACCGTACAAGTCATTATAACCCTGTAATCTACCCTACAAGTCACTATAGCCCTGAGTTTTATCCTACAAGTCACTATACCCGTGTAATCTATCCTACAAGTCACTATAGCTCATACTGTATCCATAATTCACAATTTTAATTAATTAAACTACTGCCACACTCCTGTATATTAACTTAAGTAACTGATTTTGTACCATACTGAATCCATGATGACTCACTGGTTAATCACTGGACTCATGACCCAAAAAACACAAGTCCAGTTCCCAGCATCAGATCAACCTGTACTGGCTTCCTTGGTTGAGCAAGGCACTTTACTCAATTTGCCTTGGCAATATACCTTCCAATATATCACTGCTGTACCAACACCCAAAACAAACAATATACTTTCCTGTGTTGTAGTTTCAAGGGTTGCATGCACAATACACATTCATGTCAGCTGCCTCTCTGTGTCCTCAATGTGTCTTTCGGAAAGGCAAATAACTCCTGTTTCTTTAGCATGACACAGCCAATAATGTGTTAAAAGTGCCATTAAAACACCCACCCCCCAATTTATTATTTATTTGGTACCTGAATTGGCTTGAAATTTGTCATTTGTGGTTTTAAAGCAGCCCCAATCCATCGGTAGATTTCAATCACAAGCTGTTTGGTCTCATCTCGCACAGTTTTGTCTCGATCTTCCAGAAGTTTGGGAATGAATTTCAGTACTGGCTTTATTGGCATTATCTTGTTGCCAAAACAACTGAAAGAAATGAATACAAAGGACAAATATAGCATATATAGGTCTATATACCTGCCATATTATTTATGAACATTGTCATGTAAAATCAACCTCAGTTATCTTTTCTGGAATACAGTCACGTCTCATGTGTGTAATTTTGTGTATCCAAAAGTATAAAATTGCTTACATTGATCTACACACACAGCCATCTAAATGTGAATAGACCATCCATTGCCAAGTTGTCAGGAATGGTTCATATATCCTCTGAAACCAATGTTTGTTTTCCTCAAATCATAAGGGGGAAAAAAATCCAAGATCAAAACAACACCAATATTAAGAACTCTTGGTTCTTATATATTTATATGGTTTAAATTTTTTAAAAGAAAAACCTGCTTAAAGACAATATAATGAATGGGAAGCTTTATCTGTGATTATATGAAGTTCATCAAACTAATCTAATTGAATAACCCAAGATTGTGTTAGGCACAATCCCAGTTAGATATCATAGTAATTCTAATTAACACGCCAGGTTGGTACAATTTCTAAGAAAGGGAAGGTGGCAATAAATATTGTCCATGACTAAAACATTCATAAATTGTTTTGATTTTTCTAACAGACTTTGGATTACTCATGTGCTGTTTTAATTATCTGGCCATACCCATAATGACCATTTTAAAAGGAAATACCTTAATGAAGTTTATTATCTCTATCCATTTGTAGAAAAATTTATATCCCTAACAAGTCATAGTAATATATTAAAAGCAATCTTTCTTCCTATATCAACAGCTTTTTATCTTAGGCAAACTCTGATAACTCAAATGAAGGGTGAATAATATACTTAGATAGTAACATCTTTATAATATAATGCACCGATTATAGGAAATTATGTATCTATACTCATGATGAACACCATATTTAACTTCTTACAACATGACACACATTATATTTGCTTGTAATTTATTTTGTAATATGTGACAGTGGCCTAAATTAGTGAATAAGGTATATTGTATCTTTATTCTTACATGAATGGATACATACTGACCTATAAGCCTCAATAAGGTAGGAATTTCTTTTCTTTGTGAAAATAAAAGGGGTAAGGAATTTTATTAGAAGGTAGATTCTATTAGAATCACTACAGTAGATGAATTTGAGCCACTGTTCAGCTTAATAAACATTTGGTGATTACAGCAGTCTACCTCTTTGTGAACAATGAATTTGTCTGGGAAAGCAAAAATGTTTTAATGGAACATGAACCCCAATATTAACCTAACACAAATAACTTATGTATGTACTTACATTTCAGGGTAATACTACATGTGCCTCTAGTGAACAAACAAAACAGAGATGTACATATTAAAAATGGTAAAACTGTATATCAATTAACCAAACAGTACACAACTGGATGTACATAATGATAAGAGTAAAATGATATGTACCTCTACTGACCTAACAAAGTGCAGCTGGATGTATTTATTACAGAGTTCCTGCCACAAATTTGTGCAAGATTTCAGACCTTTTCCAGTCCCAAAAATAAAAATGTCCAGACCCAACCATGCAACAAGTTTACTGACTTAATGAGACTAAAATAATTCAAATTGCAAGTAAAATGTACAGAGAAGAACAAATATAATTTAAGTTACAAGATTTTATTTACCTTAACAAAATCTTGCAATCTGTTGTTTACAGTCCACAATAATATATCAAATATTAGAGGTCCAATATATGTAAGAAAGGAATCAAACTACTATCAGACCTGTTTACCCATAAATTTTCCCGTCAGTATTTTAAGCATTGCCTGTCAGTATTTTCAGACCGCAGTCAGTATTTTCAGCACACAAATGGTAGATACTATCAATATACTATAATTATCATTATGTAGTATTACACGACATAATGACTATACGCTTGTATTCAGTTAATTCTGTGTTTCAAGACAAAAATATGCAGAAATTGAACACCACTGACTTAAACATCCTGTTCATATTATAGTGATAAAAACCACCAAAAAAAATACAACATAACCAAATTTATTCTGTTGTTTACCTCCGTTACTTTCTCTAGAAATTCTGTTTTCTCAGCTTCACACATATCCATAACATTGCAATTAAAGCCAATTCTCTATTTTACACGGTTAAGGACTTGATATAAACCATTATGACAGACATTGTTACCACCCATCCACTTAGAAAAAAATAAGTTTATCTAGATAGGTGAAGGCAATCTTATTTATCTGATAAAATCTAGTATCATCTTTGTCAATATTTACTAGAATGGAAATAAGGTTCATAAATTATTTTTCATTGCTTCCGTTAACTTGTCAGCTGTACTCTATGACAAATTCATATTTGCGATCAACTCACATAGAATCGCCTCAGCACGTGTTATTTGTTTTTGAAGTATGTTTTGATCACTGACTTCCTTTCCTTTCATCATTGACAAAATGTTTCTATTTCCATTCACTAATGATTTCAATTTTGTATGATTTTCCGATTCCACATGCCGTGAACAGTCATTCCTTCCACCATGTGCACAGGAAAAGTCTAAGTTGCAAACAGTGCAATGCACAAAATGTTCTCCTTTTGACGATGGTTTAAGGCATAGCCACAGAGTAGAATAAACTGGTAGAAAATGCAGCTTTCTGTGTTAGACTTTCCATTTTCATCACCAGTTTCGTGCAGAAACTTTCTTGTCGGCGGCATTTTCCTTTGTTTAAACAACCGGATGTTGAGAATGTCAAAATAAGTGACGTGGCACAAAATGCGGACGCGGATGCGGACCGAAGAGACGATACAACGAAACGAAACGGGAAAAAAACGGCGTAAAAATTAATTTAAAAAAAGTAATAAATAAATGCAACCTCAAATCGTATTTTCAGTTCAATGACCGTATGACCGTACGGATGAGCTTTATTCTGTACAAATACGGTCAAATACAGTTGGGTAAACAGGTCTGTACTATGTATATAAGTGTGTGTGTGTGTGATTTAGATTTTTAAGGTAGCCTTAAAACATTTTCAGTCATATCGCTAGAATGTCTGCAGTGTGACAGTTTACAGTGATGTCTAGCACACTGGACATCAGGCAGCAGACATGTGGCATGATGTCCCACCCAGTCACATTATTCTGACACAAAGCCGACCAGTCCTAACACTAACCTCTTAATGCTGAGTGCCAAGCAAGGCAGCTGTTAGTACCATTTTTAAAGTTTTTTTGTATTATTCAGCCTTGGGTTCGAACCCACAACCTCCTGCATCTGAGGCAGATGATATAACCACTTAGCCACTGGAACTGTTGGTAAATAAAAGTACAGTAATACTTCCAGTTGGTAAGCCGAGAGACCTTTTGTCAATGAGGTGTCTCAACTGGATCCACGATTGTAAATGAATAATGCGATGTCACACTTTAGAGACCATATTATTTCTGCTTTGTTGACATCATCTGTGGTGCAATTTATTTTTATTGGGCTGCTTGTAGATGGGCATGTGTTAAAACTGGATGGAGACACTTTCAGGAGTGAAAGACACCTTACAGGGAAAGCAGATGCATTAGAGGAGACAGCCATGGGGGAAAAGGCTTTCATAAAAAACAATGAAATAATGGGACTTGATCTTGATGAAGCTTTGATGTGTTTCAATGATTGCATATCACATTTAAAAGCTGAAATCTCCAATTTATTCCTGCATAGCCAGCATAATGCTTTAGTCTTAAGTTTGGAAGCCCCTGTCCAGGCTTTCCAGTTATCAGCTTCTTCCCACAGATGGATATAAATGTAATGTCCAGATATTTTTTAAATATAGGTTCACACAGGCATACAAAAGATCGGTCCATGAATTTCAAATCAAATAAGATCCAACAAAATTTAAATGATTATTCAAAAGCACAAACCTTAATTAATGAAATGATCTATAAAATGGAAAATGTAGATTAATCCTCATTGAGTCTGCAAATACCTGTCAAAATAGTATGGCCTTCTCCCGTGAATTTATTAGCTATATGTGCCTTGAAATGTTGCATTTTACAGTAACACATAAAAGCTCCAAAAAGAGCAGTCTTTTTTTTATTTGTTCAGTTTCTGTACGAAACAAAAACTTAAGAATTTTTAAAGACTTTCAATCATTTTAAAATTTTTCCAGATCTTTTCAAGGCCAAGAAAATCAATTTTCGAATTTTGATGTTGCCTATTACTTGGAAAATATAAAGCAACTTAGTGTCTTGGCACACCCGAAAGACACACTTACTGCTCACCCCTTATGATAGCTCTGATCTAGTGATCCAACAAAATATAACTAGTCAAGGAAACACTGTATGCCCCTTGAGCAATCAAAGAAAACATAATTGGATGCATATATTAACAAGAGACATAACAAAAGTAAAGGTACATATTAACAGTTGTGTTGAATCTAGGATTCCATGGGGAGGGACCAGTCACCCATTCTCCAAAACTGAAACACACAACAATTTAAAGCAGTAAAGGAAAATAAAAGATGGTACTTAATGTTCTAGTACTACAAAAATTAGTGTAAACCCACAATAACATATTGGCTGGGATCCATAGAACCCAACTATGTATAAATCTGTGTTAATTAACCATAATTAAGGAAAACAGGTATGAGCTAGAGGGCAATACCATGGTGCATGTGTTATTTAAGTCAAACGCTAAAGGATAACTTTGGAAGCCCAAGCAAATGCCCATTTGTTATTGTGGCAGTAATAACTGCAGAAGATTGACTTAGATTAAAATATTTTTCATTTCCTTTTATTATACAGAATGATCAGTGCTTCAGAGATATTTTCTGTATTCTTTTCATTTAACTATTTTTTAGGTACATTTTAAAAAGAATTTAGCCATCACGTTCAATTGTAGCCATTCCTGTTCCAGCATTCAAAGGTTGCTCAAATGTAGTTAGTCTGGTATTTTGACTATTTTATTGTAACACAGCATACAGTACTCAGCCCAGATGTCAACATAAGCAGATTATGATATAATAAGAGCACAGTTTAGATGGTTTTTCAATATGAGCAAAGTATTTATTTCTGTAACAATTGAGAGATTCCAGTGCATTTTACATCCATGTTTGCAGCTTCCTTTCATAATGCCTTTAAATTTCTCCACGCCAAACCCAAAATAGATTGGTTATACAAGTTTAAACAGTCAACAAAGATGTTGCAAAAACAAAATCACTACATGGTATATATTGTCACTAATAAGGAAAAAAATCATAATGTGCAACATTGATGAAACTCGGTGCGATCCCTAAATAGATTTTTTACACATTATTTTTCATAATTTTTAAGAAGAAAAAAATTCTGATACAAGAAATATACATGTATATGTAATTTCGGGATCCACACCATGATCATGTTATATCTGAACTCGTTTTATAACAGAGTATGCTATAGTGGGGTCATGCTGTAATCAACTGCTCGAGAGCTTTTGCCATCTTTACTTTGTCATCTGCAATACATTATCATCTTTTCCTTGGACAGCTACACACATGTGATAACTTTTTTTCAATGAGTCAAGTAAATCAGAAAAACATTAACATGTCTGAAGATATGTTTAATCTGAAATGACCTGCACTATGGAATGTTCCATTTTAGATCTTGCTGTCATTCAGGTTCAGTGTTCACTCATTATCCACTGCACCATAATATCAAGTCCTGTTCTTTTAAAAGAACATATTTATTAAATGACAAATGGTGCAGTTGCATAAACCCCTATTGTCATAAACTCTACTTGAAAATAAATTAAACAACCATCAATGTGCCTTCAACCTAACAAAATGTATTACAACAGCAGTCAACAAAGACTTTCATTGTTCCTTAGAAGACAACAAAACCATTAAATTGTTTGATAGCCAAATGTGTTGTTCTTAAATGAATATTAATTGCCATGTAAGTTTACATTGCCTTTAGCAACCATTTAGTACCACATATGGACATGAATAAATGTGCACTATAGAAAGAAATTATAGCATAGTGTTATTTTTTCTCCTGACAACAAAGCATGCCTTGTGGGCATTCAGGGGTCAAAATTTGTTGGATACTGAACAAAAGTGGGAAACCAATAACCCCACGTTCAAGGTGCTAGACTGCAACAGGTACGAATAACACCAAACATCCCACTAGTGATCTAACAGTCACGAATAACATTCTATGCTCCTCTATTTACCCAGCTGTAACACAACATGCTCATCTAGTGATCTAACAGTCACACTATATGCTCCTCCAGTAACTCAAACAGTAACATTCTATGCTCCTCTATTTACCCAGCTGTAACACAACATGCTCATCTAGTGATCTAACAGTCACACTATATGCTCCTCCAGTAACTCAAACAGTAACATTCTGTGCTCCTCTATTTACCTAGCTGTAACACAACATGCTCATCTAGTGATCTAACAGTCACACTATATGCTCCTCCAGTAACTCAAACAGTAACATTCTGTGCTCCTCTATTTACCCAGCTGTAACACAACATGCTCATCTAGTGATCTAACAGTCACACTATATGCTCATCCAGTAACTCAAACAGTAACATTCTGTGCTCCTCTATTTACCCAGCTGTAACACAACATGCTCATCTAGTGATCTAACAGTCACACTATATGCTCCTCCAGTAACTCAAACAGTAACATTCTGTGCTCCTCTATTTACCCAGCTGTAACACAACATGCTCATCTAGTGATCTAACAGTCACACTATATGCTCCTCCAGTAACTCAAACAGTAACATTCTTTGCGCTCCTCTATTTACCTAGCTGTAACACAATATGCTCCTCTAGTGATCTAACAGTAACACTATATGGTACTCCAGTGACTAAACAGTAACACTATTTCTTTACACAACAATTTAATGGGTTGAATATGGTAGCAAGATAACCTGCCAAAATTTGTTCTTGTCACTAATTCGTCTTAACAAGTAATTTTAGTATACCTGAGTGAATCCTTGAGAGCCTGTATACATCCTATCACAATCTTGGGTTGCTTGTTTTCTAAACCTTCCAAAAGAGATTCCTGCAAATAGAAAGAGACAAAATCATAAAAGTGTTATTCTAAAATGTCCAAATTTTAATCATGGTAACACGTCTAAGCAGCAAAACATCTTACAAGCACAAGGACAATTTTCACTTGAGTGGATAAAATTCAAATCAATCATCCATGAACAGCAGTGTACGACTGACCTTCATTCAGGATAATGATAACTACTTAATAACACGAGGAATTCTACTTAAGATCAGATTAACAAAAGTATGGCTAATTTTTTGTTCTTGACCTGGGCTGAATTGTATAAAGAAAACCCAACCCTGAGTTCCCATCCACTATTTAATGTTCTGTTCAAACTAGGATAAGCTATAATCTGACTCTTGAACAATTAAGGAAAGAAACTATAACTCAATATAGTTTTGGACAATTAATTGGGATGGGTGGAAAATAATGCGACAACAAAAAAACATATAAGGAACATATATAATTTTTTCTTTAGTACCAGTCATAGAGTGATTAGAGAGCATTAATGAGAATACATGACTGATGGTAAATTGAAGAACAAATTAGGATTATTAACCCATTTAAAATGATATTCTGATTCATTTTGCATGAAAGTTGGCAACTGGACAAGTAGTCTTCTTCAGCCATCACAGTATAATTCATTGTGAGAAAAACAATGATGCTGAGTAAAGTCACATTTTGGACCAGTCTATGTGTGTTCTGACTATGATGTATGTTCATGCTCAATGATATGAACATGGGCTATTGTATGAACTATTGTATGCTCATTGGCACATTCAGGTGGCAGAAATCGTAGCAACTGACCACCAAGTTGGTGACAAAATAGTTTTCTTTCTGCCAGAAGTCATCTTTTTAAGGCTTAAAACAATTTCAGGACATATAACTCTGAAACAACAGTCATTCATAAACCAACAAGAGTATGAAGGGATACATGTCAACCATTAAACTTTTTTCCCATCACCTAATTATGTCATATTCTCGCGAGTAGATGAATTATACTTTTTTGGAACATTAAAAAAAATCAGATATAATAAAAAAAAGTTGTTATTCATTTTGATTATCGTCTTTTTAATCCTACTCATTACAGAATTTGAGAATATTGTAAAATAGGAGACTACTGCAGACTAATATTGTCAATACATTTGTTCATCCTTGACTTACATGTGCTTTCCTTATTTTCTTTTTATAGCAGGCTTTGTTGATGTGACTCATTAATGTTATCTGACTGAAAAATGCTAGAAGGGATCTTTTTAATCCTCAAAAATAAAAAAGAATATGT